TTGTGGAGGGGGGAGGAGGGGGGGGGAGGAGGGCAAGGAGGACCAGAGTGTTGACCCAGGAGGCATTGATGCTGTAATACGCCCTCCCGTCCCAAATCCCCTCCTCGTATGTCCCCCCAAGTACTCCGTTCCAATGCGGGAAGCGCCCCGCGTGAATGGCGATGCGTCCTCCATTTTTCGAGCTCAATGAAGCGCCAGTGAGTACGATGATCACAAAAGGTTTTTTGCGATAAGCCCGTTTAACAATGGTATGCGTTCCATCCGTGTAACGGTTGCAGAATTTCCCGGTTCAGATCATATCATATTTGCGGAAATATGAAACAATAGCCGTTTAACCCTCTATCCGTGTAGCCGTCCATGCGTGTCGTTGCTGCGCAACTTGGGCCTACGGGCTATAGAGTTTGTGGAACCATTAAGGGAGAATTGAACTTTGAAAATGAGCTAGGCTTTACCTCGGTAGTTAGTGAAACGAAACGGAACAAACGCATGTGAGCGGCGTTAGGGCACGAGCCGCATTTTGAAAGCCACCTTTCCACCTGCATATGTTTCTTCATGCTCACAAATGGCGACCCTGCGCGGCGCTAAAGCTAGAGCCCAACTTGGACATGGAGTTCCCTTCCGTCCGTGTAAGTGCAGTACAAGTATCATATATCGGGGCATCGACTTTAGATGACGTCCACAGCGAGAGCTGCATTGTGAAAAGGTGCTGGCCACCAGCACTGCGACGCGGCACCACGGCGAGAGCCGCAATCTGAACACGATCAGCCTGCCATTCGTGTGATTGGTGCGGCGCTGCCTCGAGAGTTACAACGTGAAAACGGCCAGCCCTCGATTCTGGCAGCTGCTGACGCCTGCTTTGCCCCACCGTAGCCAGGTGCAACGAGGCACCACACGAGGCGCCCAGGCTGGCCTGCGGGAACGCCGGATGGTGCGACAGGGGGGACTTGTTACAGGTAAGCTTGCGACGTGGAGCGCGAGTGTATTCCAGCATCGTTGGTGAGCCTTGGGTTCACATTGGTCCTCTCTTCCTCCTCCTCCTCCTCCTCCTCCTCCTCCTCGCTCCTCGCTCCAGAGCGTTCCGGGACGCCGTGGGGCCGGTGGCGGCGCCCGATACATCTGCCAGACCTGCCCGCTCGCCCTCGGAGATCCCCGATCCGATGTTGCCCCAGGCCTGGCTCCGCTCTGTAAGGCAGGGCTGGACCTAAGCGGTGTTTTGGCGATTTCGTGGGCCGTTTTCGTTTCGACTTCATTTTGCGGTAGAGGTGGATTGAAGGCAAAACGAGGAAAAACGAAAACGAAAACGAAAAACACTGTTTAGGTTCAGCCTTGCTGAGAGGTGTTGCTGCGGAGAAAGATTCGGGAGTTTTGCCTCGGGTCTGTCGGCGCGTCTCCATAATGTCCTTGGAGGTCCGCGGCCAGGGGCAAGCAGATGGGGCTGTCGGCGGCGGGGCGGAGGGTGAGGGTTGGGGCGACGGCCCGCTAGGAATAGGAGGCCACATGCGAACCCTACCCCTACCCCCCACGGTTTCTGAGGGGGAGGGTGGGGTTCAAATCGCTCGGGAGCTCCCGAACGAAGTGAACCCCACCCTCAGCCTCAGAAATCTTGGGGGGTAGGGGTAATTAGGGTAACGATCGGACGGGGAGGGGGGGGCTGGATCCCCCCCCCCCGCGTAGATGCTGTGGTGCACACTGGCGATTGATGCGCCGGTGGCGCGGACGCACCCTGACAAGTGCACGCCGCGGCCGCCGTTACCGTCACCGTCCCGCCCGACCCCCCCGCAGGGGTGAGGACCGTTACGAGAGAAAGAGGAAAATAAAAAACAGTCACTTCAGGTTGGGGTGAAGTTTGGAGGTTGTTGTCGGCGACACGCCAACATACTTCTACTATATGTGCGTCGCCCCCCAGGGGCGACGCGCGCACCGAGAAATCCTGTAGTATATGTGTCGTAGCGGGCGCTTTCTGGCCACACCGCTCGGGAAACGATGTACTACAAGATGGGCATACCGTCTCTTCGGGTCGGACGCGCGCCTCCAAGGAGCACATTCTAGTTTCAGTACGTCTCTGTGCGTCCCGTGTTGTCCAGGGAGGAAAACCCACCCGGACCGGACAATCGGGGTGTACTAAACGGCCCTGGGCGTTCATTAAACGGCCCTGTCCTGTTCGATTCCTTCTATATATTTATAGATAGATACACGCATATATATATATATACAGTTCGTCGGGATGGATATTTCCGTCTTCTGTGGGCGCGTTGACTCCACGGCCTCGCTGGTCGGGGTGGTCACTGTGGGGGTGGATTCTGTTGCCCTCTCTGTGCTGGGCGACGCCGTTGGCTCCCGCCGGCCTCCCCGGCCCTCGGGGCGCGCTCTACCGCTGCGCGCCCCGCCGGGGGGGGCGCTCCGAGAGGGCGCTCCCCCCCGCCGCGCTCGGCCGCTGGAGGCCCGAGGCCCCGACCTCGAGGGCCGAGGAGCGGAAGGATCTTACTCGTATGGCGCTCTCAAGCCCGTGCCTTTTCAGTACGCGTGTCAACGTTTCGCCCCTGCTGGGGCTCGTCAGGACTCGAATGAAAATGGCAGCGGCATGCGAACACAGCAAGTGCATGATCGACACAATACTGCGTGCAATGCGATGCGGCAAACAAAAACACATGCATGCATGCGGAAGGATCGGGGGTGGCCAGAGCCCCCAACAGATCCCCGGCCCCTTCAGATTGTGAGCGCGTGGACAAGCGACGGGCCCCGTTCCTGTCGGAGTTCGAGACGCTCCGCCGCCAAACCATGCGGCGCCGGCTTCGTGTTTCGCCCCGATGCGTCAGTCCGGCCCCCACGCGCCAGATCCACAGATCCCTGATCCGCTTCGGCGCGTACGCGGATGAGGCAGAGTCCTTTGTCTCGGGGGTGGACAGAACCCCCAACAGTGACACGTCGATTAGTGAATTGTCCGTTTTCGGTTCTCGAGAGGGCGCCGTGGCCGTTATTTTCCAGGCTTGCGCCCGCCAGGTTTGGGCCTCAGGTCGTTTTCACTAAACCACGTTTTGCAAAAGGGAGGTCTGTCCATCCCCGAAAGGACAGGGGCAGCGCAGATTGTGTTGCCCTTGTCCTCCCTCTCCCTCCGCCCCACGGATTCTGAGGGGGAGGGTGGGGTTCACTCTTCGCTCGGGAGCTTCCCCAGCGAAGGGAACCCCACCCTGCCCCTCAGAAGTCGTGGCGCCCTACATATGGCAACGGTTACGCGCCGGTCGTTGGAAGTTGGTATTCTTGGATTCCCAGATCCCAACCTGCTTCAAGCGCCTTCCTACTTCAAGGATCGGCATGCTTTTGCTGTGTTTTGTTGTTCTCTGGGAGGGCCTGGGCCCAATCCACTGTAGCCGCCTTCCTACTTCATGTTTCTACCTACTTCTTCCGACCGACGTGTATGATGATCCAACCTACTTCAGCTTTGATCGCCAGGAAGAATCTCGAGCGCCCAAGAAGGTACCGAACCTCGAGGGTTTTCACACGTCTGGCCCTGGGAGACTCGCTCGGCACTGTTTCGACCCTGTTTCGACTATTGACACTGTTCCGGGTGCTCGAAATTATTTCTGGGATGTGGTCCTTAAGTAGGACGGGAACAACATCACGCAATGAGGGGATACAGTGGAGGCCCATGCCAAGGATCCCCCTGCTTGCCTCCAGGGTGCCCCGGGTTTCTTGGGTTTCGATGCCTTCGCCACGGAGAGCGGGGCGACCCCACACCAGAATTCAGTGGACGTCCTGGGGTCTCAGGGTTGTGTTTCTTGTGGAAGGTTGCTTGTGGACGGGCCTCCACTGTAGGCTCGGGGGGGGGAGGATGCATCGACCCCCGATCGCTCATTGATCGCCGATGGGGGCACGATAGCCTGCCCCGCCCAGGAGCGTGCGGACTTGGTATCAGGGGCCCGTCGCCCATCAAATGGGCGATGTGTCCCCCCTCCCGACCGGTGCCCCTCCTGGCCGACGACGGTGCGCGAGCTGGACTCTCCCTGGTCCGCCCGCCGTGAAGGAAAGCGGAGGGGTCCTGGGGGAAACGGGTCCCGAGGAACCCCGCCGTTTCTGAAGGGTCCTGAGGGAAGCGGTTCCCCAGGCTTTCCGCCATCTTTGGGGCTCCTGGGGCCCTCCACGGGCCCCAGGACCGCCACAGAAGCGATTCGGGACGAGAAGTTGCCCCCGGGGAGTCGCGCCGGGGTGCGTGGCTCGTCTTCGGCCTGGCCCGCGTCCCCTTACCTCGTGCCGACCACTCCGTCGGATCCTCCCCCTCCTGGGCCGAAGGGCGGGGGCGGTGGGGGCGAGCAGCATGCCCAGAGCTTGATCATTTGGCGAAAAACCATGCACGAAACCGAAAAAACACAGGGAAGGGACGTCCGAGTGATGCCCAGGTGCGCTCTCTCCGCGCGCTCGAGGTGCGGCGCTGCTCGGCGCGCCCCCGCGCGCGCAGAGGCCGCGGGCTGCCGCTCCGAGGCGGTGCGGCGCCACGAGGAGGCGTGCCGCGGCGCTGCCCCGCCCGCGTGCCCGCCTCTCCGCGGGCGGGCGCTGTCCCCGCGGCCTCGGCGCGCTCGGACGGTGCCTGGGCTCTTCGGAAGCTGGCCGTGGTTCTCGGGAGGGGAAACAACACACACAGACACAACAATGAGTTGTCTCGATGTCCCTGAACATATTGGAGATGTGGGAAGTGAAGCCCAGAACATATAGGAACATATGGCGAATCCTGCTATTTGTGTGTAGTCATTTGTGTGTCCCAGGGCCCCTTCGGGTTCGTCCTGGTGCTGTCTGGCCACATCTGGCTCCCGGGGGGGTCCCTCTTGGCCCCATCTCGAACCTCGATCGCTCCCGCCTCTCTCTCTCTCGCGCTCCTGCCCTCTCTCGCGCTGGTCCCCTCCGACGCTCCCCGCTCCTCCCAGGGCGTCGTGCGGCGAAGCCGCACCGTAAGGATGAGCAGCTTTCCAAGGTGACCCTCTGCTCAGGGGCGGCCAAGAGGGTGGTGATGACTCCTGGCGTGGGCCATGATGTTTCCTCAGATCTCATGGTGCCTCTTCTCTCGTCACGTCCCTGGTCCACCCCCCCCCTCGGGCCGTGCACGTGGCCGCCGGCCATGATCTGCGCCCCCCCCTCTTGGACGCCCCCCTCTCGGTCGCCCCCGACTCGCATCCTTCCGGTTCGGCCCCCGGGCCCCACGCGGAGGAGGGGGGCCACCCCGATGCCTAGAGGCCCACGCGCCGGCCCCGCGGGGATCCCTACCGCCAGGCCGCACAGTCAGGAGGAGCAACTTAGAGAAAATGAAAAACAAAACCAATGCAAAACACAAAACAGTCAGGAGGAGCAACTTTCCACGGTTACGCTGGCATCCTTCCCCTTTGGCCCCTCCTCGGCCGCCTACGCTGGCCGCGCCCCGCTCGCAGAGTGCCGACGTGGCCTCCTGAGGCCCCTGCGTCCTCGTCGTGCCTCCTCCTGCTGCGGGCGGAGCGTGCTCCCCAGGAAGGCACACTTCGCACGCCTCTCTGACGTTCTGACTCTCCGCCTCTCGCGCCGCCTGTCCGAGTGCAGCAGAGTTCGCGCCGCTGCGACGCGGCGGCGGCGCCGGCGCCGGCGTTCGCAGCCGAATGCTATCTGGGGTCCCACCTCGGGGCTCAGAGCAAGAGAAAGCTTCCCACGGCGCGAAATCACGACAATATATGGTGTCGACAGCCTCTGGACCCCCGGAACGAGGAGATCGTTCCAGGTGCAAATCGGTTCACAGGGTGTCACAAACCACGGGCCACGGCAAGGCAGGAGCTTGCCGCAGTTTCCCTCCTTCCCTTCGCACCTGTCATGGCCTCGGCCTTCGTAACCTTAGCAACTGCTATCTTGTCCGTCTCTTGTCTTCCATGTATGTCTTCGTATTTTCTCCATGCTATTGTCAGTTCCAGTCGTGGCACTCGGCTTTGCCGTCTGTGTGTTTTAATCGTCGCATGCGGATGTCACTATCAGCTGATCTTTCCTTCTCTTGTCTTCTCTTCCTCTGTTTCCCGCCCCTCTCCTATTCCATGCCATTTTACACACGTGAGTGTCCTGTTCCACATTTGCATGTGGTCCTCGCGCCGACTGCGCATCGTATCGGCAGCAGAAGGATCCGCTGAGAGTGCAAGCGCCGCTTAATCAGCTTTCCATTTTGCAGACAGGTGTCTCTGCCAGTGTGTAACCGTATTCCCTGCAAACTACTGCGCTTCCCGATGCCACACTTTCAGTGAAATTCCGGCCACTACCCACATTACTCTGCCTAGAACCGCCCAGGCGAAGTCCTGTGCATAGCCATTTGGGCCCAAGCCGCGTCGGTTTGAAGTGCACAGGAAGGACAACAACCAGACCGCGCGAGCCATGCTCACCCTCGCTGTGGCGGCCTGCCTTGCTGCAGCCGTGGCCGCGGACCCCGCGGAGCCCGTGGCTGTCGACAGCGGCGTGACGCCGATGACGGAGCTGCGCGGTGCGGAACGCGCGCTCTCGACCGAGAGCGAGGACCCCATGTGCGACGCCGCGCAGACCATGTTGCGGAACTCCGTGGAGGCGGAATGCAACGTGACCGACGTCGTTTGCGTGTACAAGCGGGACGGAGACTGCGACGACTGGTGCAGCCCCAGCTCCCAGTGCGGCTACATCCTGGACAACCCGTTCGTGCAGTTCCACGACTTCTAGTGCGTCATCACCGCCACTTCGCCAGTGTCGGTGACTGGCTCGGTCACGTGCCACCCGCAGCTGACGGCCAAGGCCATCGCCCTGCTGGTCGCGGCGGCAGTCGTCCTTTGCGGCTGCTGCTGCTGCACGGTGTGGTGCTGCTGCTGCCGCCGCCGCCGCCGCTGAGTGGCCGCTCTCGCAGACGGCGAGGCCGCCGTCCCCCTTTGCGCCCCTCTAGCACCCCGTGCCCGTCCTTCCTCCAGCGGCGCGCACAGAGGGGCAGCGGCGAGTGGTGGGGGGGGAATGTCATCCGAGAAGGCGCCCTGGCCGTTTCGAAGCCCCCTCTCCTTCCAGTGCAGAGGGGGGGGCGACACGGCCCAGACGCCGACGTGAGGACCGCTTTCGGCTCGGAGGAGGGGCCGTGGTCTTCGGGCCTCTCCTTGGGTCTCGGTCGGAGGCAGCCGAGGCTAGCCGTGGCCAGAAGAGCCATGACTATGACAGCACGACGACTGCACTTTCCAAGAGACCCCCTGGCCGCCCCCCGCCCTCCCCGGCCTCCTCTGCCCGCCGCTGGCTCCTGCCAGGCTTCGGCCCGACCTCCCGCCGCTACAGACTTCAGGGCACAAGGCTCTCCGGCGCGGCGTGCACCAGCGTGGTCGCTCTCTGGATGGGGCTCGGTGGCCGGCTCTTGCAGGGCCAGCGGCGGCGCCAGGCCGCCTGCCTGCGGGCCCTCGGGGGACGCCAGCTGTACAGTCGAGACGGATTCGTAGGTCGACCCTGCCAAATCGAGGGTACTCTTGTGCCCTGAGCTTCGCAACCCATGCCTCCTTGCAGTCCTATGGCAAGGTGGCCCTCGGAAGGGTCTTGTGTCCTCTCGCGTGTCCTCTCCAATCAACCCCGACTGTAGGCCGGCGCCGGTCCCAGCGAGGTCAGCATCGGTGGTCTCCGAACGGCGTGGTGGCAGCACCGTTGTGTGGTGAGTCAAGGGGGATTCGGGGTCCAAGAACCCATCGAGTCATGAAAAATTCACGACGGAAGGTTTTTCGCTATTTTCGGCCCCGGGGGGCCCGTACTGGGCCTCGGGACCGTCGAACACGGCTCAGGATGAGAAACCTGTTCCTGGGGAGGGGTCCGACCTTTGGGGGGTCGCGTCATGAACAAAATTAGTTTGGCGAAGGACCCAACCATATGCAGTTGTGAATACCGCAATTATGAATATCATCTTCGCCCGCGTTCCCTATGGGACCACGAGCCGTGTGAGGGGCGTGCCGACATGCGTGGCGGGGCACACAACGCGAGCGAAGACGATAGGTCTGTGTGCCAGAGACTGAGAGCGAGTGAGTCTGATTGTGGATGCGCGCGCCTGAGTCTACGTGCGTAAATGTCGACGCCCATGTCGGCGCGCCTCTCACGAGGATCGCGCCCGCTTCATTCCCGTTCTTCTTGTCCCTCTTTGCCCGTGCACGCCCACGTCCAAGACTGCGGGCGCGGCGCCGCATGGAGTCCCCGCGACGCGCGCTGGTCGCCCCGAAGGGGTCCCTGCGACGCGCGCGGGTCGCCCGCCTCGCGGAACAGAGAGAGCGACCAGTTTTGCTCCCGCCCAGGATGCGCGGCCCGAAAGCGGCTTCAATAACTCGAATGCGACGAAAAACTTCCGGAAATCGAAAGTCGCCGCCATGCGAATTCCGGCACTGGGCCGCCATGCGACTTCCGCCAAAGAGACCTTAGGTAGAGCTCCCTGTGGGGGCACGAAACGCTGTACTGGGTGGTGGATGACGCACGCGGGCGGTCCCACTCGGGCCTTCGGTGGAGCCCCCTACGGGGCCACGAAGCATTGTACTGGGTTGTGGATAATGCACGCGGGCGCTCCCACTGGAGCATTCGGTGGAGTTCCCTGTGGGGCCACGACATGTTGTGCTGGGTGGTGGGTGACGCACGCGGGCGGTCCTACTGGAGCCTTCGGTGGAGCTCCCTACGGGGCCACGAAGTGCTGCGCTGGGTGGTGGATGGCGCATGCGGGCGGTCCCACTGGGGCCTTCGGTGGAGCTCCTTATGGGGCCAGGAACCGCTGTACTGGGTGGTGGATGTCGCATGCGGGCGGTCCCACGGGGGCCTTCGGTGGAGCTCCCTATGGGGTCACGAAGCGCCTTACTAGGTGGTGGATGACGCATGCGGGCGGTGCCACTGGGGCCTTCGGTGAATATCCGGATGCGGTCACGAAGCGTTGTGCTGGGTGGTGGATGACGCATGCGGGCGGTCCCACTGGCCACTGGGGCCCTCGGTGGAGCCCCCTATGGGGGCACGAAGCGCTGTATTGGGCAGTGGATGGCGCATGCGGGCGGTCCCAGTGGGGCCTTCGGTGGAGCTCCCTATGGGGCCACGAAGCGTTGTTTTGGGTGGTGGATGACGCATGCGGGCGGTGCCGCTGGAGCCTTCGGTAGTGCTGGCCACGAGGTGCTGTGTTGGGTGGTGGATGACGCATGCGGGCGGTCCCACTGGGGCTTCGGTGGAGCTCCTTATGGGGCCACGCAGCGCTGTGTTGTGTGGTGGATGACGCATGCGGGCGGTCCCACTGGGGCTTTCGGTGGGGTTCTTTGTGGGGCCACGAAGCACTTTACTGGGTGATGGATGACACGTGCGGGCGGTCCCACTGGAGCATTCGGTGGAGTTCCCTGTGGGGCCACGAAGTGCTGTGTTGGGTGGTGGGTGACGCATGCGGGCGGTCCTGCTGGAACCTTCGGTGGAGCTCCCTATGGGGCCAAGAAGTGAGGGAGGAGGGGGAGGAGGGAGGGGGGGAAAGACGAAGGAATGGAGGAAGAACCCGGGGACCGTCT